AGTGTTACATCTTTCATTGGTCTAGTGTGATTGACAAGCCTTGGGCTTGTGATTTCTAATATGGGTTGAATCTCCCCAGGCACACATACGCTCCTGCTTTATTTTGATAAACTTAAAAGTGCTACCTTTGAACTCGTAGGTTGAATTTGCTCTCAGTCTGTGCTCCATGGGTGGAGCTGGACAGCTGGTGGTATCTGTGGGTGGACCCAGAGCTATTTTCCTCGGCATGTGCACTCGACATGGAGCCAAAGGCTGCTTGCAAGCTGGAATTACCCTGGGCAAGGCACAGCCTGCAGCCGCGGCTCCATCGTGTGGAGACACACAGAGCCCACGTGATCATCACAGTGCCCAGTGGTTTCAGTTTTTCTCAGGCTTTTCCCATTTTCTCCCTTAAGCCCCACGTATCCTAAAATATTTTGGCACCAGACAAACCAGGGCAGTGTACCAGGGTCTGTACTGGTTTCAGAAATGGAAGTTCCACGCTCTAAAAAGTATCAAAAGTGCAGGCCAAGCAGGACACTTGCTCCCCCTACTGGCCCTCGAGTGAAGACCTTTTCAGGTTCTCTCCCTGGTGTAGAATTTGATGCCCTTGGTGACATCTGCTTAAAACAATAAATGGCCCCCTCCCCTGTATTTCTACAGGGTGTCAATGTGCAAAGAACTCAGGGCTATTGCACAATGGGGTCTGTGATCAGAAAATGACTCGACACAGCCCATTTTTTCCCTATGTGGACATGCAGGGGAGGGGATAGGATGCAGATAATCATCACCAGCGGTATAGGAGTTTTCGGTATTCAGTTCCCTTAACTTGAACGTATCTGCTGACAGTTTACAGTAGTGGTTACCTTGAGTCACACCACGCTTTATCAACATGCTGTGGGAGCTTTCGGGGTCTCAGAGGTATTGCTGGTGGGAGAAAGGTACCTCTGATCATGAGCAGATAGAACGGGACTCCAGGTGTTTCAAGGTAAAGCAATACTACTAAGGCAGACAGCAGCAGAAAGCAGGGACCCCAGCCTGCAGTCAGAGAATTATTTCCAATGTCTGAAAGACAGTATGGGAAATGGATGAAGATGCGCGTTTGATGGCTATTCCTTGTAAGTGGTCTGGATTTGAAAACACTTAGAAGACACACCTCTGAGCTTGTTTGAAGCTGTTTCCCGAGAGGTCTAACTGAGGGGGGCGGACCCACCCTGGATGTGTGTGGCACCATCCCATGGGCTGTGGTCCCAGTCTAAATTAAAGGTAATAAAGAAGATGCTAGTTGAGCAAGCCGAATTCCTCTCTCTCTGCTTGTTGGCTGGAGAGGCGATACAGCCAGCTGCTCCATGGCTGTCACCAGGCTCTCCCTGCTATGGCGGACTGTCCCCTCAAACTGTGAGACAAAACAAGTCCTTTCTTCCTTCAGTTGTTTTTGTCGGACACTTCGTCATGGCTACAACAAAAGCAAACGACACACGACATTTTCGAGGAACCCAGACTTGAGGCATGTCTGCAAAGGACATGAGGTTGGGGGAGTCCAGAAGTGACTCTTGTTGGTAAGGGGACAAGGGACCTATTCCTTGGGGGATAAAGATGCAGAATATAGAGTCACCTGCCCTGGGACTCTCGGCTTTTCCTTTCCATGACCACACTCGGAGCTTCAATCAACTCTTGCCCGATCTCAGCGGCCTCTAACCACCCTCTGCTCACCCTGCATCTGAGCTCCCACACTTCCATCTTCTTGATTACCTCTGGAAATTGGGGTGTTCCCAGTGACCCAGCCCCAGCTTCAATCAGCTAAATGGCGGGCCTCAGTGCACATGGTACTGTCTTTGGGTTCTGGAGTATTGTCCATACCTGGGTGTCCTGGCTAGTTTTCTGTCAGCTCAACACAAGCCAGAGTTATCTGAAGGGAGGGAACCTCAACTGAGAAGATGCCTCCATAAGATCTGGCTGTCGGCAAGCCTGTAAGGCATTTTCTTAATTAGTGATCAATGGGGGAGGGCCCAGCCTATCGCGGGTGATGCCATCCCTGGACTGGAGGTCTTGTGTTCTATGAGAAAGCAGGCTGAGCAAGCCATTGGGGCAAGCCAGTAACCAGTGCCTCTCCACGGCCTCTGCATTGGCTCCTGCCTCCAGGATCCTGCCCTGTGCGAGCTCCTGTCCTGGCTTCCTTCAGTGATGAACAGCAATGCTGAAGTGTAAGCCGAAGAAACCCTTTCCTCCCCAACTTGCTTTTCAGTCCTGGTGCTTTCATCGCAGTAATAGAAGCCCTATCTAAGACACTGGGCCAAATCCTGGGACTGCCCGGGGTGTGGCTGTGGGAGGAAGTGAGATTCAGGGTCCTCTCTCCAACTGTGCCTTGTCACCCGAGGCCTAGTACTGCTTGTGTCTGGAGTCTCACTAAGACTTCACAAAGGTCACCCATCCACACCCCCACTGTTCTCTGCTGAGGAGTTCTCCAGCTTGAGCAGCAGGGAAAGACCCACAACAGCCCCTCCATTCTCATTTCTCTTTTCTTCCAAGGGGCTTTCTTCCTCTTTCAGGCAAGGGCACAAAGGCACATCAGCATGTCAGCCTCTGTGGACAGACCCCAAAGAGACCACAGGCTCCCAGACCGTTCTTTCTCCCTATAGTGGAATTGGGGTGTGGCTAGGAGGCTCTGGGTAGTATCTCTGCTCCTCAAATGTGACACCAAGGTCATTAATTCACTGCAAAGAAAGTCCTGCAAATAGTCTTTTGTGAATGATGCTTCTGAAGTGTTTAAAATGTCACAGCCAATTTCGAATAAGAAGATGTGGAAAAACTCATCTGGAGTAATTTAGGGTGTATCATGAAACCTAATAAAGGACAGTGCAATTGTGGGATGTTTCCAAAAAGGGCCAGGAAGTCGCACTGACCGTGGAAAGGGTTAGAACCCTCCCATACTGTTCTCTTTGGTTCCCTGGAAAAGATTCTATGGATCTAGCCAAGGAAAGGAAAATGCTGAGAAATAGGTTCTTATTTTTAGCTAACTGTCATTATTCTTCCTACGGAAATGTAGAAGTATCTTTCCACTTAACCTATCATAGCTACTTACAAACTTACGAAACCATCAAAAGGAAATTCATGCCAAGGATGCAGAGAAAAAAAACATCTTAGTCATTTCTCCGTGTACCAGAGGGCTGCTCCTCTGGCTTGTGCTACGCTCCATGGGAGGCTTCCTTGGGCCACTCATGGCCTCTCAGGCCTTAAAGAAACGACATGATGAGAAAAGGGTTTCTACAATAGAACCATTCATTTCCCATTTCCAGGCCCCTGGAGAGCAAAAGGGGGTCCTCACTGCTTCAGTTGGCGAGGTTAGGACTTCCCACCTGTGCTTCAGGATTCTGCACCAGCCATGGCTGGTATGTGCAGGTGGAATTTGTCACTGTTCACTTTTCTCATTTCCATAGAGGGGGTAGGGATTGAATTTAGAGCCTTGCACATGCTAGGAAAACACCCCAACACTAAGAAACATCCCGACTCTTTTTTTTTTTTTTTTTTTTTTTTTTTTTTTTGAGACAGGATTTTTCTGTATAGCTTTGGAGCCTGTCCTGGATCTCACTCTGTAGCCCAGGCTGGCCTCGAACTCACAGAAATCCGCCTGGCTCTGCCTCCCGAGTGCTGGGATTAAAGGTGGGTGCCACCACCGCCCGGCAACATCTCAACTCTTAAAAAATACTTGATTATTATTTTTATTTATGTGTATGTGTGGCCTGTGTATACATGTACATGTGTATGGGTACCTGTGGGGCAAGAAGAGGGCACTGAGCATCCTGGATCTGGAGTTACAGGTGGTTATGAGGCGCTTGACATGGCTGTTGGGAACTGAACTCAGGTCCTCTTCTCCAGCGACAGCTCCCCCCCCCCCCCCCCCCCCCCCCCCCCCCCCCCCCGCCCTGCCCGGCCATGTTCATTTTGAGACAAGGTCTCACTAAGCTGCTCAGGTTGGCCTTGAACTCACTCTGTAACCCAGGCAGGACTTGAATGTACAAACCTGCCTCAGCTTCCCAAATAGCTGAGATGACAGGCATGTATCACCTGGCTCCGAAATCACACGTTATTGTTACATGGCTTCCAGCGATGTTAAAATGACTGCTGGGGGCTCTGTGTTCTCTGGTTGCACCCTCTGTTAGTGAGACTGAGCTAACCTTACACCTATTGCGTCTCGTCTTTCTCCTCCTCTGCTAGGTACAGAGGAGATAATTGCAGATCCTGGAGAACTATTCCCTTGTGCTTAAAATAGTATCAAGATTTCCATCTGAGTTTCCCACATGGGGAGGCAATTCGGTGCTGCTGTCTACTAATTTGGATTTTTACTTGGTGTCTATGATTGTTTTACCTGCATGCCTGCATCTATCTGGGCAGCACTTGTGTGCCTGGGGCCCTCAGAGGCCAGAAGTTACAGACGGCGGTGAACTGCCATGTGGGTGCTGGGAAGTGAACTCGGGTCCTCTGCAAGACCTGTCAGTGATCTTCAAAGCACGCCAGTCAACTGGCTCTTGGGTCTTACCTTCCCACCACAGAGAATGAGAATTAAATGCATCATTTCTTTACTTCAGAAGATTTTAGGGGAACTATTTAAAGACCACCTGAATGTTCTGAGTGACTGAAGTTGAAAGTTATGGGTATCAGGGAATTTTAAAGCAGAAATCTGTTTAATAGGAATCAAGTAGCCTCTTGAGTCACTTGGATAAGGCACAGAATGGCATTTAGGCTCTGGAGGCCTGTCTTCTGGAAAAGAACCATGACTTGCTCCATTAGTGACAATCTGTGTGTAGGAGAATGAGTTTGGGCCCAGCACTGCGGTTTGAGCAATGTTGGAGGTTCACCTTGAAAGACTCTTTACACGGAAGGATCCTTTAACTTTCCAATGTAAGTTTTTGTATTATTTTTGTTTGAACAGGTTGAATGCTCACCTGCAGATGGAAAGTCAATACATTAGTGTATGTTTCTCCATGAATTAAACTTCCTCTTTATTTTTTTTCCCCCTGCAGACAAAACTCTTTGGAGTTTTATTCCGTATTCCTCGTAACACTGTGGATGGCTGGGTGGTATTTCAATCAAGGTAATTATAAGAACACGTCAACTCATTCCAAAGATGAGTATGGGGTTTCAACATGATTAAGGGGCAGATAGATGACCATACAGCTACTGATGCTGGAAATGACTTTAAATACAAGAAGCAATGCCTGTGTACATCCAAGTTATAAGTGTGCTGACATGGCTTCAATGTGATTCAGTTCAATAGTTAAAAAACAAACCCAAACACTAGCAGTTGGATATAGTGGAAATACCTGAGATTCCAGCACTCAGAATCTAGAGGCAGAGCTGCATAGTGAGACTCTGGCTCAAAAAGCAGGGGTTACAACTAACCTGGGCTCATAGGGGCTCACAGAGACTGAATCAACAACCAGGGAGCCTGCATGGGACTGACCTAGGTCCTGTGCATACATGTGACAGTTGCATACCTTGGTCTTCGTGTGAGACTCTAACATTGAGAGCAGGGGCTGTCTCTGACTCTGCGGCCTGCCCTTTGGACCCATTCTTCCTATTGCATTACCTATCCAGCCTAATAGAAGAGGAGGGGCCCAGCTTCACTACAACTTGATGTACCATGGCTGGCTGATACCCATGGGAGCCCTGCCTGTATCTGGAGAGAAACAGTGAAGGATGAGTGGATGGGGTGGGGTGAGGGGAGGAGCTGGGAAGAGGGCAAGGGGAGGAAACTTTGATTGGGATGTAAATATGGCAGCAACAACAATCACAACAAAGTAAGGGTTAATGTAGCTCAGTGGATGAATACTTGCTTGGCATGTATAAAGCCAAGAGTTTGGGTCTGAACATCCTCCTACTCCTCAGCATAAACATCTTAGATGAAACAGGGTTCATATATGTGGCTATAGACCATTCACAACTTGAAATAAACTATAGGCTAGATACTCAAGGATAAAAGTGACACAAACCTTGTCTTCAAATCTAATAATCTAATTTAACCGAAGGATCAGAACACAGAAAGCAATTCACTCTCACAACAGCCATGTTTATGGAACAGTTACTGTGTGCCAGGTCATTTTCTGAAGCTCATAGACTTGGAGGATTTAAAACTTTCATATGAAACAGGGTCAAGAATTGATTCTCATTTTACATATGAGGAAACCGAGTCACACAAATGTTAGGTTGTCCAACCTGATATTCACCAACGTGGAGAAAATCTTCCACTCAAAGGCAGAGCAGGTCTAGTGATACTTGTCCCAGGGGTCCAGAAGGACGTGGTACTGCACTTTGAACGCAGCAAATCTGCAAGCAGACTCTCTCTGTTTGGCTGAGGCTTCCTTGGTGAGCTGAGGGCTTCGTGTACCCACGTATTTGGGGGTTGGACCTGTATGGACACCCTAGCTGGGGAAATAGAATCCCCTTTGATTTCCTGGTAACTGTCATGGCCTCATTTGGGTATGCATTTGATTGCTAAGATTTAAATAAACTAAAATCCAGCTGCTTGCAGGGAACCTTCATCAATCTCTTTCTTGTAGTTTTTACTGTCAACCGAGGAATTTCAGATACAACGACCTTTAGAGAATGACTTTTAAACTTTACTCAACTCACCCTTTTGTTCCTTAATGGCACGAGAGAAAGCGGCTGTTCCTTTTCATCTAAGGGCATATTAACAACTAATAAGGGAAGTGCCTTTAGATAATGGAATCCTGTCTCTGTCGCTTGACCCCTCGGATTTTTCCATGATGGCCTGAATGAGGCCAATCGCCTAGCAGGAAAGGGTTATTGGGTATCATCATTCTTTTCTCTCCCAAAGTAAGTTGCCTCTGAAGCTGCCTCTGGCTGCTCATTGGCTTTAGGGGGGAATAATTCAGTAGGTTGGGACAGTAATTCTCAACAGAGAGCATGCCCAGAATCTTAACATCCTCAGGTGCCAGGCAGCTCTTCTGCTACTCTGGGTCCCCTTGTTCCTATCCTTTGGTGCCTCCTCCCTCAACGGTACCCTCCAGAGCCTTTTCTAAGAAGACAGCACTCCTCCAGTTCCCTTCTGGCCCACATTGCCCCTCAGCTTTTTCATAACACTTTCAAGCCTGCAATTTTCCTGTCTCCATCTCTTGTCTTCTCTATTGATAGAATAAAACGCCGTCAGGGGCTAGTGAGATGACTCAGCCCTTAGAGTGCCAGCTATAAAGACTTGAGTTCTGACCCCAGCATCCACACAGCGAGCCTGGCACGGAAGCACACGCATCTGTCACCCAGCGGCAAGAAGGGGGAAGGGAGACAGGCTCTAACCAGTGAGCTCCAAGCTCAACGAGAGACCCTGGCTCAAAATAAAAGAGGGGTAGGGATAGTGCCTGGGGATGATACCTGACATCAATCTCTGGCTTCAATATGTAAGTGCACGGAAGTACTTCCACATGCACACGCGCTTCCATGAACATGCACATCATGCACACACACACACACACACACACACACACACACACACACACACACACACACGCACCTCTGTCATACAAAGGAGCAGTTATGGGTAGACAAGAAGGTTTTTTTTTTCTCTTCATTTTATCTTCTTGGGGTGCTGAGGATCGAACCCAAGGAACCGAACATGCTGGCCAAGCACTCTACTGAGCTATAGCCCCAGATCTAGAATAATAACTTCAGCAAGGCAGGCAACTGCTGACCAAATCCTTAGAAAACACCTGGCATATACAGGAAATTAAAAAAAGTCTCGGTGACCAAGTAAAATAGTGAATTTATTGTAACAGCATGTTACAGTCCCAGACAGAGGCTCTAGACACTCAGTCTGCATCTGTGTGGTGTTGAGGAAGGGGCCTCATTTCGAGAAGATATCAATATCTTGACTGGTCAGGATGCCAGCAGCATCAATATTGTGCATTGTGTATTTTGGGGGTAAAACTTATGTGTGGTAAAATGTACAGCTCTTAGGTGTTCAGTGGAGTTTAACACTGGTGTGAATCAATCCCCTGTCAAGGTACGTAACGTGGCCACCACTCAAGAAGGTGCCCTTGCACCCATTTATTCTCGCTCCTCTCACGGCTCTGATTTTTCCACAGTTTGGTTTTTCCATTCTTGAACTTCATGTGACGGGAATAATGTAGTCAGCACCGAGGTGGAATGCATCAGTCCACGGCAAAGTGCTACTGCGATTCTCCATGCTGCCTCATTTCTTTTCACTCACTGTGGAGTGGTAGCGTACTGAATGACTACAGTGTCTGGTTATCAAGTCTCCCGATGGTAAACTTCCAGACATCTTTGGGTTACTAGGAATACATACTTCATAATTGTGACGACCAGTCATAGTTTTCGTGAATGTTCTTGAATGGGTCTTTTTTAAAGCACATGTGCCTTCCTGTTTCTTGAGTAAATACATAGGAATAGAATTGTTGGGTTAAATATATTTTACTTTCATACGAAGCTTCCAGAACTCCCCCCAAACTGGCTGTGTGATTGTGCATCCCACCAATGATGGGTGTGAATTCTAGTTGTTCTATCCCCTCACCATGTTATAGTGTTGGTCTTCAAAGTCTAGCCATGCCTGGCATGGTGGCGCACGCCTTTAATCCCAGCACTCAAGGAGGCAGAGACAGGCGGATCTCTGTGAGTTCAAGGCCAGCTCTTGTCTACAAAGTGAGTTCCAGAACAGCCAAAGCTGTTAGGAGAGAAACCATATCTTGAAAAACCAACCAATCAACCAAACAAAAAACAATAAAATAATTTTTAAAAATCTAACCATTCTGCTGGGTACTTGAAGGTAACAGCTCACTGTAGTCTAAAAACTTTTAAAATGGATTTTTTTTTTTTTACTTATTATCATTACTTGTGTGTTCATGCTCTATGCTTGATGGCGTGTGTGCCACAGAGCCCACATGGAGCTCAAAGAGGAACGCTGTGGAATCTGCTCTCGCCTTCCTCCTCTCCTGAGTCCTGGAGCTTGACCTCAGCAGCCAGGCTTGAGCTGGAAGCTCTCGGCTACCCGCTGGGCCACTGCCTCTCATTGCAGCTTGTGATTAGCAGTTTGCTAGCCTCGAATTGTGTCAAAACATTTTTCATGTGATTCCCGGCCCATTTATTTACGTTCTTGTGTGAACTGTGTATTCAAATATTTCACTTATTTCGAAAAGTTGCTTTTCTTTTATTATTATAAGGATTATTTATTCTGGGCACATATATTTTGTCAGGAAAATATTCTTAAACTACTTCCTCAGTCTCCACACCTTACTTTGAGAAACGTTCATTAAATTCTATACACTTTATTTTATTCCTTGCACAGTTTTTGCGACCTGTCTGGGTCTCGTGTACCTATACGGCCGTCACAAGTACTTCTGGGGCTATGCGGAAGCTGCTGACAGACGGTAAGGAGAACCAGCTAACGGCATGTTTGTGTGAGGTACAGCAGATGTGTTTTCTGCTCCTGAGAGGATTAGGAACACTTGGAGTATGGGTGACCAAAGTGACCCACGTTGCTTGAGGCCAGTCTTGCCAAACCACATAATTAGGCACAAGATGAGAAAAAAAAAAATGGAAGTGTGAATCTGCTTATTGCACAAGAACTGCAAATCCTAGCAAGAATTCCGCATTGTTTCTAGAATTTTTAGTTGGGGGAGCTGGACAGGGGGCTGGTTGACCTCAGGGGCTTGGCCTTCCCTTTACTTTTTATGATGAGCTAAACATTTCCAATGGTCTATTGTTGAAGTGCTGAGCAGTTCCACCAATGAGCAGCCGTTACCAGGACCCCAGGGTCCTCATTGCACCTCACCCCTTCATGTTCACCCTGCAGGATCACTGGTTTCAGGCTGAGCACGGGGACTTTGACCTTGCTGACTGTTCTGGCTGTGCTGGGGATAGCAAGCCGATTCCTGGATGAATACCTGGACCTCCATGTTGCCAAGAAACTGAGGCATCCCTTCTGAGGTTTCCTCTTCCCTCCCATGCCTGTTGAGGCCGTCACCAGTCTGCAGACAATGCGGTGTCATGTGTTAAATAAAACTTTTAAAACTTTTCATTTGTTTGTCTTGCCGTGGCTTTGTGGAAACACCCCTTTTGCTGGCCCCGCTGAAGAAGTGCACTTCCTGGTGTGGGCTCCCCAACACCACGGTTGCTGGGCTCTGGCTTTAGAATGCGCCTTGAAGGTGTGACTGTTTCCGTGAGAACAAAGCCGGACCCACGTGCTGGCATTCATGTGGATCATCGCTACAGCTGCTGGCGCAGCTTCGGTCCTGATGAAGAGTTCCAGGCAGAAGCAGCTCAGGCAGATGGGCCCACAGCACTGGTTACAGCAGAGCAACAAATGCCAGGAGTGAGAGATGTCAAACACACGAGATAGCAGGAGAAGAGAGTCACCGACGAGTCACACGAGACAAATCCAGCTGTGAAGGTGTACTTCAAAAGAACAAAGGGAAAAGGGGGGAAAAAAGCATCATTTTAGCCGGGCGGTGGTGGCGCACGCCTTTAATCCCAGCACTCGGGAGGCAGAGGCAGGCGGATCTCTGTGAGTTCGAGGCCAGCCTGGGCTACCAAGTGAGTTCCAGGAAAGGCTCAAAGCTACACAGAGAAACCCTGTCTCGAAAAACCAAAAAAAAAAAAAAAAAAAAAAGCATCATTTTAAGGATCCACCAGGGACCTTGGCATTCATGCCCCTTGGCAGAGGGAGGTGGGTCCTGTGACATGGTATCTGTGTCTTGTGAGACTTGTGCCCTAATTGAGGACATAGTGGAAGCTGAGTGGATGTTTTGTCTTGATGTGCAGTCACTACCTGCCATCATTCATTTGATATTTCAGTTTTCCACCTGAGAACCAGGAGTGATCCCAGCTTACAGCCTCAAAGACCTGAGGAAAAGAGGACCTAGGCTCCTCCACTAGGCGGAGTCCTCGCCGCCTGGGTCTCGGCACCCTCCCGATGCCTGTTACCGTACAAGAATATGAATAATAGACAAGAAAATAAGAAATAACAGTGCTTCCAGAACAGCAGGAGGAGCTAGCAGCTTCCTGGATAGCAGTGGACACCCCAAGGCACAGTGGTAAGGCACTGGCTTGAAAGGGGGATATTGGATTTAAGTCCCATTCCCCCATTACTAGGTGACTGACTGTGGACAAGGTCCCCCCCCATGGGAAGTTGTATGGCAGAAACTGAGCATTCCAGGGCCACGAGACCATTGTCTGTCCTACCACCTGCTGGGGCACAGATAGGACCCCCACACTCTGTAGCTCTGACCTTCATTTTCTCTCAGGCAAAATAGGGCTAATCCTCAAAAATGCCAAGCTAAGTATAATTTTTTTTTAGCCCTACATCATATTTACTGCACTCACATGTCATTTGGAAGAAGAAAAACTTTCCAAATTTTTAATATCTCAAAATAGCCTCTATTTTGTATTTAGTTTGAGCATGCTCATGCATACACATGAACACTCATGCTCACGCACACAGATGGTTAAACACATGTGGAAACAGGCAAAGGGTGTGCCAGGCTTTCAAAACTTCCAATCTTCAGATATCACCCTGGGATTTGTTCTTGTTCGAATCCACTGCCACCAGGAAACCTCTTTATTATTTTAATTACTATTAAATTGGGCTATAAGGCTCCGGGTAGAGCGAGTCTCCTCCACAGGAGATTTCATTTGTTTCTGGCCAAAGAGATGTTTTGGTGTTGTTGCTGAGACAGGAGTTCGGGCTGTCCTTGATTTCAGGATCCATCTGGCCCAGCCTTCCCAGTGCCGGGCAGGTAGTGTCTGCTCAGCAGCCTGACAGTAGTACTTACAGGTTTTGGTTAGTAAATCTGACCAATTTTACACTTAGAAATCAGAGTCTTTACCTGAAAACAATGTCATGAGGCGAGGGGCAGAGAAGGCCCTCCTTTCGTCTACCAGAGAAGTCTTAGGAGGAGAGAAGACCGAAGGGCAGAGAGATCCTTGACAAACCCTGGATACAGAAAAAAGGGAAGCTGTGGAAGAGCTTCGTGAGATGGCTGCCGCTACTCGGATGTGCTGTGGACTAAGAATAGAAACGAGGAGGAAACGCACGCTAACTGTTGTAGGTGTTTTAATGGCACCGTGGTTAGGGCAGAGAATGTTCTCTGCCATGGCATGCTGAGTGCGAGGGGCGGGGAGTGGTCACAGGCACAGGATTTGCTTTGAAGTGTTCCCCAAATTCTGCATAAGAAGTACTCATGGCAAAGTATTAGCCAGGGTTAAACTGAGTTGATGAGTGTGGGGACACTCTCTCTGCTTCCCTGATGGTTTGGAGGTGTTCAAAGTTTTAAAATCTTAAAGAGCAGTTGAAACAAATAAAAATAAACAATCAGGTTTTCCATAGCTGGGCATATCTTTTGTTCTGTGTTAGAGACTCCATGGGGGACATAGTGGCTTTGCTGGACCCATTAGTGTCGGTCTGTCCTTGATGACCTGTGATGGGCAGGGACACAAGGGCCCCAAATACATGGAAGATGCAGAAACTCCTGCTTATTATCTGAAGTGGGATGGACATCTGTGGCCCCTGGGCCACGGAATATCAGTGAGAATCTCACGGCCTTCGAACTGAGCAAAAGAGAGAAGGGGAGAGGGAAGGGGAGGAGGAGGGAGAGAGGGAGGGGGAGGGAGAGGGAGGATGAAAAGAAGACAATAAATTGAAAAGAAACTGAGAAGCTAAGACATGGGTCACATATCACAGTCTTGTTCCTTCCCAGGAAGCTTTCTCCTGCTTTGTTCCCAAGGTTGGACCTCAATCTATCACTAAGAAGAAAAGTACCACACCATTTGCCCCCTACTCCCAGATCCCCCTTTCTCAGACACAGTCTTTGAAACAACTCGCCTGAGTCTGGGAACGCTTCTTAATCCACGAAGAAGTTGCACGTGCCTCATATACCCAGTGACTTCCTGGAAATCTAGAAATGCTGCCCTCTTTGTCCCCTCATGGCACAGACAGCTCTGGGACCTTTTAACACCAGAAGACCACACACAGGAAACATTTATTTTTGGGACAGGGTTTTCCTGTGTCAACCAGGTAGCCTCACACTCAAGGAGATCCACTTGCTTCTGCTGGGATTAAAGGGGTGTGTGTGTGTGTGTGTGTGTGTGTGTGTGTGTGTGTGTGTGTGTGTGTGTGTGTGATGCCCAACAAGAGAGCACAAAGCTGGACCAGCAGGACAGAACTGCCATCACTTGGATAGGAACCCCACATCGGAAGGAGAAAGGTAGACTCGAAGTCTCATGGTGCCAACGACAGTTGCCATGCCTGCGGTGGAGGGGACAGAAGGGAGGGTGTGTACTGTGCCCAGGGGTAGTTGCTGCTATGGCAAGGGGTTTGATAGCCACCCCGGGGCTTGTTACTGTCCTCCGGTCAAATGATTTCAAATGCCCTGGTCTCAGGAGAGTAACTTTCACATTGGTCCTTGACACACAAAAATCTTATGAATCAGCTGGCACCCTGGCCCCACCCCCAATACTGTCTTGACTCTTAAGATCCATCAGTTCTGGGCATCGTCTAGATTGGCATCTACAATCATCTTGTAGAATCCTCTTAGGCACCTGAGAGGTGCCTGTGAAAATGTTTAAACACGAACTTCATACCACACATTCAGTTTTATCTTAATAAAATTATAGATTTATTTATTTCTCTTTAAAGAAGAAAGGTATCCACTCATCCAGTGCCCAACAGATCTTAGTATAAATTTTAAGGGAGTCATCATCATTCTCGGAGCTTCGTGATTTTACGCTGTTGTCAACTCCCTCTCTCGTTCCCCTTCCAACTAAAGCAGATTGACTTTTACCATCCTGTTATCTGGCGAGTCTGAGCACATCCAGCAGGACACTTTCTCCATAGCACTGTCAGACTGGAAGCACAGACCGCTGTGGCTCGGGCTAGCCTCTTCCTTCACGGTGAAGTTCATTCTTTCTCTTGAGTGATGTGTATTAAAACTCACCTTTGTTTTGGAACCATTTCTACGGATGATGTTTTTCTGTGGTCTATTTTCTGTTTATCTCAAGAGTTTTGAAACATGTCATTTTACTGTGTTTGAAGTTTAACGGGGTATCTTAAGGGCAGGTCTGCTCAGAGTGGAGAAATGGACCCGTGTATGCGATATGTTAATGAAGGGTGGGCTTGAAGGAGGAGGAAATCAAAGAGGGAGGAACAGACGGGAAGAAATCAAGCAAGGGTGCAAGTGGGAGCCATGCCCCAGCCTCCGCCTGATCCCATGGCATGCCGGAGCATCGTGCAGCCTCAGAGTTTGTCCAGACAAGTCACTGGCCTTTTATTATCCTGCAGCAGTGAGTTATTAGCTAGAGTTAGAAGAGTATAAACTTGAAGCACTTCCAGGTCAGGGTGGGTGCAGGAAAAGCCGGGTCAGACCCTGCTCTGACAGCTGCGTCGTGGGCTAGCAGAGAGGCACAGGGAAGTGGAGGCACCCAAACTGCTCCTTACAGGGGGTAAGATGGCTGAATTGTTTCTCCCTAGCACATTCCAATTTCTTTCCATCAAACTTTTACTATCCATTTCCCTTCCATATATTTTTACACATTTATTTGTGTGTTTGTCTGTGTGTGCATGCACATGAGCCATGGGGCTCATATAGAGGTCAAAGGACAACTGGCCGGGGTCTGTTCTCTCCTCCCACCCTGTGGGTTCCAGGGATTGAACCCAGGTCATCAGGCTTGGTGGCAAGCGCCTTTACCTGACGAGCTGGCCCACTATTTTCTAAATGCTCTGGCCGAGCTAGTTTCGTTCTGGTCCTGGATCTATAAACTGACTTCTTCGTCGTCGTGTTAGACCTCCCTCCCTTTCACCACATCCCTCAGGGTGCTCTAGGAAATTCAGAAAGTCTCGCTTGTGTGGTTGAATTAGAAAGGCTTGAGAGTGATTGATTCCTACTGGCAAATAAGTGTTTAAAGAACGACACCACAATTCCGAGAAAGGAACCTGTAGTTAGTCCGCTAAACCCCGGGAAGGATACATCTGCTTAAGCTGACGCTGGGCAGGGAGAGGATCCTAAGGGGAACCATGCTACGGCTCGATTCAGAGAGTGACATTTTATTTCCATTGGTTGTTTCTTCTTTAAAAGTGGTATGTCAACATTGCTTTACCTCTACATTTCAGAGTTCTGTACATTCCTTAAAGGAAATGAGCAAGGCTTGATGTACAAAGTAAGAACAGAAGATTAGAAAAATCTGAATAAAACGGAGGAAGTTGCCATAGGTCCGACAGTCTAAACCAGTAATTAGATGTCACCTGAAGTGTGATGTCACCTCTTCAATGATGAGTTAGGGAGGAAATAAAAATACTCTATTTTAAACAAACATTATATATATATATATATATATTTATATGTATACTTTTTACATATAGTAGACCCAGTGATATCTGTAGCATTGTAAAAACTTATGTACAAATAACTTTTTTTTTTTTTAGACATTACATATACATCAGCACCTTAGTAAAAACAAAACAAACGACCTCATTCAAATCTACCGCTCTAGTAGTTGGTCCTCAGGCTGAGCACTTGCAGGAGGCTTTGACGGGACGATGGAGCCCACTCCGCACCTCCAGTGTCTCCTCATTGCTTACGTGTTTCTTGTGTTTCTTTCCTGTAACCTGGCAGGAAAAGGTGATACGTCTGTGTTCTGTTTTCTCACGTCACTATTTTATTTTTATTTTTACTTTTTGGTTTTCAGTCAAGTCTCCCCAGTGGCAGTGCCTCCCCATTCTGGGAGTTCACAGTCACCCTGCCACCACCTCTTTGGAGAGGCACACAGCTCCTCCTCACCCTGGTGCCTCCGGCTTCACTTCCTGTCAGAGCAGGTCTGGAACTCTTGGGATCTGGAGAACAGAGCCACAGTCTCCGCCTCAGCTTCCCACTGCAGCGCACCTTCTCTGGACTTCCTTGGGTATGGCTGGTGCAGTCCCCACAGGCTCTGGTTCTCTGTAGTAAGATGTATGTGAAGACATGGGAGGAAGCCAGTTTGTAGGATGTATGTGTGTGTGTGTGTGTGTGTGTGTGTCTGTACACGTGCATTTGTGTGGTTAGGAGAACAGTAAACACCATGGAAAAATGCCGCTTGACCTCCAAGATGGGATTGTGGGAGGGGAGGAAAGAGGAAGAGACAAGGCTCGTGACAATGGAGGCTGTTAATTCCTTCTTGGTTTTCACTTCGGGCAGGTATGTGTGAGTGACCAAGAGACCTGCGGCACAGCTTTGGAAGTAGATTGCCTTCAGCATGGGGACCACGTCTCCCTCTCTGTAGCATCCACATTGGTAGGATGGAGTTCTGATTTTTCAGCTTTTCCATCTCTAGCATTTGATATTTGCCTTTCTGATGATAAGCAAGACTGGTTCCTGAGAGTCCCCGTTCCAACCATGTGAAGGAGCCGGGATCTTCAGGCCATTCTTCCCTGGGGATAGCAGAAGTATGGGTGTGACTCCTATAAACCACTTGGCTCCCGCGGAGACCTTTGTACACCAGACGCGGTCGAAAGTCTTCTTGCTTTGACTCTGCCTTTGCCCCGGGTGCTTCAGCTCCTGGGTAGTCTGGAGGGAGAAGTGAAGGCAGGCTGGCACAGAGGCCAGGAGGAACAGAGGCCGTGGTGAGGGAGGAAGGGGCTGAGCTGGCAGACCCTGAATTCAGCAGGGGTCTTTCCACCCTATGGCCATAAACAGATGAAGAATAGCTAGGCGTGTCAAATCGGATGGGGACTCTGGGAATCTCAGCGCAACCTAGAGTGATGGCCGCCGTGGCCGCTGGCAGAAGCTGGCCTTCAGGGCTACTAGATGGGCCCTTCTCAAGCATCGTTGTCTATCCCGCTGAGGGGGCTGGCAGCAACACCTTACCATTCCTGAGGGTCATCGCTGGGCAGGAGACGGACAGACCTGCAGGACCCTTGCTTGTCTCCCTTGGGCCAGCTCAGGCGAGCTCACTGTTCTGTGTTCCTGCCTCCGCATCCAGTAACACATCTGGAAGTATACAACTCCTTCCATCCAGCATTCAGAGCATTTCTGACCTATGCACATGGCCTGTGTGTCTCCCAGCATCCTCTGCTGGGCTTTCTCTGGCTGAGGTTCCGTCTCTGAGGTCTCGGGACCTGAGGCAGGAAGAAGGTCTAAGGAGACCTCATCTTGGGCCATAGTCCCTCTGGGCTGGAACCACTCTTTCTGGACCAGTAGGTCCCAGGGGTGCTTAGCAGAGGAACTCTTGCTGCCTCGGCTTACCCACCTGCTCTCCACATCCCTTCTCTGCAAGCAGGTATCTGTGTGGCCTCTCTACTTGATTGCTCTTTGGAAGGCAGGTGGGATGAAGCCCCACGGAGCTGGGGGTCGACACCTGGACCTTCCACTTCAGCCAGCTGTCATTTTTCTCAGTTTACGTGGGTCAAAAAAACAAAAAACAAGGATGGGGCACCATCCTGTTTCTTTCTCGCCTGTGAGGCTTCCACCACTGCAGCTCTTGGGCCCCTTCTGACTAGGGGTTAAATAGTTCATCAAGCTCTTGCATCCACTCATCCCCTGGGCCACCTTTGATGATGGAGTCCACGAGGTCTGTACTGTCTGGGAGGCCGGGGAACGAAGCCCCAGCACCCTCACCACTATAACTGTATGACATGTCCTGAGCGGGGTTCCGCTCATAGGCCTGGCCCTGATTGCTTGCGGCAAAGCTGCCGCCCACCATCTGCTGCTGTGCTGGGGGCTGGCTGAATGTCGCCATGCCAGGGACACCCTGGCTCAGACCAGACATGACCAGTGGCCTCACCTGGCTGGTACCTTGCTGCCCTGTGAGTGGTGGCATCATCTGACGGCCCATAGCTGCTGGATTGAGGGTTCTCACGGCGCCAGTGTTAGTGTCCAGGACTGACTGGCTTAGTCCCTGTGGGAAGTGTTGTTTGGTCAGTCTTGGCTGACCAGCTTGAAGTGGGTAGCTGGCGCCATTGTTGAACGGTCCCAACTCTCCACTAGTCCTCCCGGGCACTCCCGGCAAGCCTCTCTGTTGCCAGCTTTGTGCTCCTTGTTGGACGGTTCCCATGACACTCTGAAGCCTTGGTGGGCCTTGGGGCCTTGGCAAGGCCTGGCTCACGGGTCCTTTCAGCTGCTGGTGCTGCTGGGAAAGAGCCGAGTTCACCAGCATGCTCTGCCCGAAGCCACTCACCATGCCTACCCCTTGTCCAGAGGCAGGCTGCCTGGGTCCCTGGGCTTGGTTGTGTGAGATGTTCATGCCACTTTGGTTAGGATGCTGCAACATTTGGGTCATTCCTGTGCTCATGTTGTACATTCCTGGTTGGCTGGTTGGAGGGGCACTATAAGGGGCCAGTCCTATCTCTGACTGGGCTGCTGCTGTGGCCATTGTCCCTGGGTTCTGGGAGGGTCCCATTCCCATCATGCCTGCGTTCTGTGCCATCAACCTCGATGTTCGCATGCTCTGGAGGGCTGCCTGGTTTCTCACGGCTGCTATGTCCTGGGGTGAACCTACAGGGAAAAAAAGAACAGTTATCACCCACTATTCTCTATATCAGTATGTTGTAAGATGTTGCTAGAATTTTCCTTGGGAATGTCAGTCCTGTATATGAAATGATCTACTGCAATAACACATCTTCATAAAAGGTCATTACTTAAATGATTAGAACATGTGAGTTGTGAAAATTTTGCAAAGTATTGAAAAGTACAAAGTCAGAAATTAAAGTCACCTGAATCCCAGCATCCAGAGAAGATCCCTGCCAGTTCTTATTTATATTTAAATAGACACAGAAAATTGAGGTCATACCCTGGTGTTCTGTTTGTTCACGTTCACAATGCAAGGCATTTCCTATTTTGGATACTCTGCCATCAAGTCAGTGGGATACCATCTCTTCGGGTGTTAGGAAAATGTACCATGGGCTAAGCTGAGTGTGGTGATACGTACCTGTAGGCCTCTCAACAGGGAAGACAGGGAGGTATGAGGATTGAGAGCCCAGGCTTGGGCTACAGAGTGAACTCCAGGTTGGCCTAAAGCATAGGGTGGGATTCTGTCTCAGAAAGAAGGAGGAGGAGGAGGAAGAGTAAATAATGTCTGTTCACCACATCTCTTTGTGAAGTGGAATTCAGCTCAGTAGAGAATCTGCTCAATGAAGTCTCCATTTGACTGTTTTTTTTTTTTCCTTTAAGACTTGAGTAGGATTTGAAGTAGAAGGTCGTTACCGCTGCCTACAAGCTATCTTACCAACGAGACATGCTTCAGATCCACCTTGTAGCTCTCCATGAGCTCTAGTGTCTCTGACTCATTGGCCTGTGTCTGCAGCTAGAAAAAGAAGCCATCCTGTGTCTCTTGTTACTTGGCAAAGAATCTCGTGTCTTCCTGTAGCGAAAACCCTTTTGGATTGGCAACCACTCTGCCCCCCTCCCTTCCCCTCCCCTTCCTTCTCCTCCCCTCCCCTCCGTCACTAAGATGACTGTCTAGCCATGCAAACAGGACTGATACTGGGGCCGACAAGCACTAGCTTGTCCTTACAGGTTGTTCAACTGTCAAAATATTCTGTAGCCTTGACAATGGAGAGCGGTCTGAGTCTTGCTACTACACTGTACCCTGGGCTGGCTAGAACTTCTCTGTGACCACCAAGGATCAGCAAGGATCAGAGGGGTCCTCTGGGAATCCTTCACTCTTGCTCTTCTCCGTTCGCCAGTTATTAGGTTGGCTGGTTACTACCCAGATTTAAATAGCATCTGGAAAGCATTGCGCTGGCCGCGGATCTGCACACACCTCACTTGCGGAGTCAGGGCCAGCAGGGACACAGTGGCTCACCTTGGAACTGGTTGACCTGCTGCACTGGGTAGGGAGTCCGCTGCTGCTGGAGGTGCTGGCGGGGCAGATGCGACTGCTGTATCTGCTAGGATGACAGGAGACAGGAGAAGCCGGAGGTGAGCAGGGAGAGCACACAGTCGAGCACCTGCCAGCTTGGATGAAGGCCGGCTGTTTATTATTTTTTCCCCAAAACTAAGCTTTGTGTGGAAAAACAACACGCGTATAGGCAAGGGCTGCATAAAGTAAACAAGTGAGTGGATTTTTACGAAGTAGAAACACCTAGAAAATGAGTCTCACCCTCAAATCCAGAAACAGATGCTGCCAGAAGCGCCAGTCATTCCTCCCCCTTGACCCCCTTGAGTACCATCAACTTCACTGTGAACCACATGGACTACTTACTCACCGCTGGGTCTGCACTTCTCTGAGGATTCTGTGCTCGACGACGTTTCCATTTCTCCTAAGGCTGACTCCTCATGCTGAGCTGTATGGTTACCTTCACTACTGACTAGTATTCGATCACACAGACACACCTGCTAGGGACAGTCATTGAGGGTGTTTCTAGCCTGGGACTGTTGCCGATATCACTGCTGTGACATACCTACCTTCTGCTGGAATTTTCCTGCATTTCTGATGTTTGACTTGCTGGCTTGTGCACCCAGCAAAGCAATTTTAACTCTGATTTTCCTGTATCAGTATGACTGCTTTCCTTAGCATCGTGTGGACCTGGCTCAAAGGGACAAGCTACAACCTTTTAGTGACCTCAGTAGATGCTGTGGGTACAGAAAGATAGCCTCCTCGGGATATACATACGTACACACATACATACATAATACATACATAATATATGCATACATATATAAATGTGTGTGTATATCACACATATACATACATATATATATTATATACATACATATGCACATATATAGGCTAATCACACACACACATATATGTTAATCTTATTCTCATGAAGTCATACCACCTGTACAATACATGTCTATAAGTAAGATACTCTGGGGCTGGAGAGATGGCTCAGCAGCTAAGAGAACTGGCTGCACATCCAGAGGTCCTGAGTTCAATTCCCAGCAACCACATGGTGGCTCCCAACCATCTACAGTGGGATTCGATGCCCTCTTCTAGCTTAAAGTCATACATGCAGATAGAGTGCTCATGTACAATAAATAAATAAATCTTTTTTTTTTTTTAAAGTAAGATACTCTGAATTTGGCTGAGCATTGGTGGTGCACACCGTCAATCCCAGCACTAGAGAGGCAGAGGCAGGTAGATCTCTGTGAGTTCAAGGCCAGCCTGGTCTGCAAAGTGAGTTCCAGGACAGCCAAGGCTACACAGACACACCCTGTCTCCAGAAACTAAACAACAACAACACCTCCGAATCTGCTGCTCTGAAGCAGACATGTAGAATTCCACCTATTCTAGGAGTCGGAGGCCCGCCTTTTAGTCTTTCCTCTTTGGCTCCTGGGGATTCTGCGCCACAAGCATCATTACCAACATGCTGGACAGGCTGTTCGATCATTATCATATGCAAAGGCAAGAGACACAGGGCAGGGGGAGAGAGCAGGGAATGAGGCTTTGAGTTCTCGGTTGGCCATCAAGTTGCCACGTGACCTTCGACGCTGCTTAACCTCTTTCCAGCAGCTGCTGAATATTCATTAAGTACTTTTCATCTGGGAGGGCCAAAAAGAACGTGCCAGCAGATCCCCGCTCTTCAGAGAGCTCATTATAAAAACAACACGCACTGGCTACCTCTTACCACACGTGTGTGCTTCTATTTTCTCTCTCATGTTTGTTCCTGGGCAGGTCTGCAGTGTTCTGTTTTTCTTTCCTTTCCTCTAAAATGCCAGCCAGCATCCTGGCATCCAAAGGTTAAAAAAAACGAAAAACAAAAAAACAAACCAGAACAGCCTCTGCCCTGTTGACCCCAGCCTGTGCGTCTACCATAGGATTCTACACAAAAAGAAATGAATCAATGCGGAGACCATTACGGGTGTAGGCCAGAAACCATGCAAACCTTTCAGGCAGTAATGCAAGGACATTATTGAGAGCAAGTGAGCTTTTAAAAGTTTCTCCTGGCCTGGGGAGATAGCTGAGCCAGCAAAGTAATGAACTGCCTCAGAAGCTGAGGCCCTGAGTTCGAGTCCTAGAGCCCAGGTTAAAAAAAAAAAAAGTCAGGTGTGGTGTAAGTCCAGGGCTGGGGAGGCGGAAGCAGGTGGTTCTCTGGCCAAACAGTCTAGCCTGCTTCGAAAGCTCCAGGTCTGGAGACTCTCTGTCTTAATAAACAAGGTAGACAGCGCCAGAGAATGCTACCTATGGTTGATTTATGTCCTACACACACACACACACACACACACACACACACACACACACACACACACACACACACACACACACACGGGGTGTTCTGTTCAACCTGCGTGAACGGAAGAGACAGACATGCTGCACGCTTGTTGAGAATAAGGCATTAGCCTCAGTCCCCACCTGCTTTTTGTTTTTGTTTTTTTTCGAGGCAGAGTGTAGTTTTGGTGCCTGTCCTGGATCTCTGTAGCCCAGGCTGGCCTCGAACTCACAGAGATCCACTTGGCTCTGCTCCTGAGTGCTGGGATCAAAGGTGTGCGCCACCACCACCCAGCCCCCACCTGATTTTAACCTTCTTGGTTCCGATCGCCAGGTCAGCTGAGTTCCTGAAGATAGGCAGGATCTCAACTGTTTCCCCTCACCTGGGCTTTCATGAAGCACAAGTGTTTCCAATACATTGTTTTCAGACCCAAAAGTGCGGGGGTATGCTCAATGTTGCAGAGACTGAGAAAATCACAGTCGGTGCGGTGCTGATGTGAAAATCAGTATTTACTCTCAGGGCTGGGGTGCAGTTCAGCAGTAAAGCCCTTGCCTAACATGTGTGAGGCCCTTGGTTCCATCCCCAGCATTGCCAACAACAACAGCAAAGAATTCTCAAAGCAGAAAGCTGAGACCATCCCACCCAGGAGCCCGAGTCACCTCCCCTCCTAAGCAACACACAGGGCACAGGCAGGCAAGACATGAACATTGACATGGATGGCACATGGGGCTGCAGCTTTTCCACGACAGTCCCTAATGCTGTCCTGTGTCCTAAGAGCCATTCCCATATACATTTGTGTATATGGTTTCCTAATGAATTTGTATACCATCATCTCAAGTAATCTTTAAGACAGGAAAATTATGCAAACCTAACCTGCTAGATGAAGACAGACTGTTTTTTTTTTTTAAATTATGCCTGCTTGTGTGTGTGAGCTCGCGTGTCACACACATACACACACAGGAATGTATGTATGTGTGTGGTGTGTGCCAAGGCACTTATGTGGAGGGTACAGGACAACCTCTGATATTCGTCCTTACCTTCTATCTTGTTTGAGACAGGGTCTCTTGCTTGTCTCTCTCTATATCAGCTAGCTGGCCTGATAGCTTCTGAGGGTCCCTGTGTTCTTCCATCTCACTGAAGGAATGTTGTGATTACAAATGGGCACTCCTGCATCTAGGATTCAATGCAGGTCTCCATGCTTCTCTAGCAAGCATTTTACCTATCTCTTCGGCCTTACATGATTTGTTTATTTGTTCAAAATCACATTAACTGCGAAAGGATGGACAAGTCCCAACCCTGAGCCAAGCGATTTCAACTTGGTCCCTCCTAATGTGTGCATCCAGTTGCTAAGGCAACTCAGACAGCATCCTGTTTCCTTCACGTTTTCCAGGTAGTCCCATCTCACCATGGTTCTGAGGGGTTTCTGTCTTGTCTCCTTGTCCACAGGCCTGGGTTTGACACACCTCTCCCTGCAATCTTCCATCTCCCTTTCTATTCCTTCCCCAGGGCTCGGCTGAGCAGGCGGAGGTGTGGCCTGAGAGCACACCCCTGGGTGGGCACAGATGAGTTCTGTCTGCTTACCCTGACTCCTTCTGTGCCTTGCCTGCAGCACATGTATCAGAAATCATTTCTCAGGGCACCAGGCACACCTGAAAATGTCCTGGGTTTGGTGGCGGGGAGATTTACAAAGCCCAGCGTCCCTTAGCAGCTCCATTTATCACTGCCGGAGAGATATTAGCACAGCTCCTTGTCACACACCTTATGCAGGGTGAGAGGGATAGAGGTTTGTTTGTACAATAGCTGCCAGGTGGCTGACTGACCTTGGTAAGAAGGGAGATAATTACATAGCTGTTCAGGAACAAAAGCAAGAGCGAGGAACAGAAGCAAGCTATGCTCAACAGCACACCTCTTCTCTTTGGAGGGCGACTGCTCGGACTTGGGACTGCTGTTCTTGGTGGGTAGGGAGCTTGATGTGCCTGGATCCCACTCAGTGCCTTGGAGAGGAAACTCCAAAATTCTAATTCTATTAGGAACAAGTATGAGCAAGCGGCAAAGGGTTCCTGGGTTTCCCAGGACAGCCTCACACCTGTGATTCAGAGCCAGCCTGCCGGGTGAGATGCCCTAAGCAGGTCCCCACAGGGGCCATCAGGGGATCTCCTGTGGACAGACCTAGGTGGTTCCTTGGGATAACACTAAATCAAGCACCAGCATCTCTCACAACAAAACAAATCAAAGCCTACAAGGGTGGTCTGCAGAGAAGGCTTTCTTCCAGAGCTGGAGGAGTTATATGGCTGGGGTGGGCAAGGAGGCCTGGGGTGAAGGTGGCATCTTGTACTAGGCCTTCCTTTCGCTCACAGATTGCCTAAGCTGTAGGAAAAAGTGTCGGGACTTTCTCCAGTTGCTCCCTTTCCATGACCCTGTCCAAGTTCCCTGATAGTTCTGTGCCTGATTGTATTGTCGCCGGTCTACCATTTACAACCAATTCAGCAGAATTCTCCACTCTTTCCTTCTGAATCATTTGGGTTCTTTTTCAGTGTGTGTGTGTGTGTGTGTGTGTGTGTGTGTGTGTGTGTGTGTGTGTGTGAGAGAGAGAGAGAGAGAGAGAGAGAGAGAGAGAGAGAGAGAGAGAGATCAACCCTGAGTTTCATTCCTCAGGGACCATCCACCTTGTTTTATGAGTGTGTGTGTTTGTGTGTATGTGTGCGTGTATTTGTGTGTGTGTATATGTGTGTTTGTGTGTATGTGTATGTATGTGTGCGTTTGTGTGTGTGTGTTTGTGTGTGAGAGAGAGAGAGATCAACCCCGAGTTTCATTGCTCAGGGACCATCTGCCTTGTCTTTTGAGACAGGCCCCCGTCTAGCGAACCCCAGGGCCCCACCTCCCCACTGCTGTGGTGATGACAGAGCGCTGCCATGCCTGGCTCTTTACATAGGTTTTCTGCCGGTGAACCAAGGTCCTTACGGTTGCGTGGCAAGCCCTTTACCAGCTGAACTATCTTCCCAGCTCACGAATTACATGTACTATTGCTATTTTGCTTAATGCTAGTAATGTCGGGGCCTACGGTAAGTGTGAGCTAGCCCCCACCACACGCTGGTTATAAAGACCCCTGGACCAGCGATCAGGAGAAAAGGAGTCAGGCAAGAATGGAAGAACTGTCCAGTTAACAGTCCTTCCAACTGATGGCTGAAGCCTGTCTTTAAGGAACAAACTAACGTTATGGGAGAAAAGCCTAGCTACTTGAAAAGGTGAAAATTCCACAGGTTCTTCTACGCTCCTGTGAAAGGCCAGTCTCTGAGTATCTTGACAGGGACAATGCTGACATCCTCACAAACAGCAGGTGCCAAACAGATGCTAGCTGAATTGATGGCTCGCACCTTGGAGGAGGGGGCGTTACCTACCTGCTCCGCCAGGATCTGCTGCTGCTGCTGCTGCTGCTGCTGCTGCTGCTGCTGCCGCTGCTCCCGGAGGAACTGTTGCTTCTGATGCTCCATCAGCTGGGCCCGTTGATCCATTAGCATCTGCTTCATGATGGCTGCCGGTGGCTGGCTGCCTAGAAAGCCAAGACCCCCAGGACTGGCTCCGGAGACCATGCTGCTCGACCCTGGGGGCACAGAGTTCTGCATGGGGCCCGAGGTCCTGGGAAGACCAACTGTGTGCTGCTCCTAGAGGGAACGAAAGCAAGCGATTTAGAGATTCTGCCAGGACACTTCCTGCCATTTCATGGGAAACTTCGGAGGGGAATGGGGCAGGGGTCCTAGCTGAGGGATTGATTCCAGGGCTTCTGAGTGATACCCATTAAACCTCCAGAAAACGATCCTGTAATTCTCCATAAAAACCATCCTGTTGGCCTCAGCACAGGAGAACTGGAGAGGCTCCACAGAGGCAGGGGATAGTAGCAGTAACAGAGAGTGGGTCTGGGACATGGGAAGCCAATTCATCTGTTTCCAATGGGATGGCATGGTGGCTGTCCACTGGGATTTCAATGTTCCTATCTCTCTAAAGAGAGGAAATAAGCCCTCAGGCTGGGCTCACCATAAGTCTCAAAGGCAGCATCCATCCTTATCTTTCCTGATAATCCTACTCCTTACTGTCTACTTTGCCAAAACGGACATCTCAGTAAATATGAGAGACATACATAGACAATCGGACCCGATGGTGGATGTTAGTCTATCTAACCAAAACACCAGCTTTTGTATGTGCATGAGTGAGTGTGTGGGTGCATTTTAAATTCTGCCAGACAGTTTTTTGATAGTAGGAACTGAAATGTTTTATTTTTGATCAAAGCTCTATCTTTCCTTCTTTCTTTCTTGTTTTTTTTTTTTTGGGGACAGGGTTTCTCTGTAACTCTGGCTGTCCTGAAACTCCCTCTATAGACCAGGCTAGCCTCAAACTCAAGAGATCTACCCATCTCTGCCACCTGTGTGCTAAGCTACCACACCCGACCAAAGCGATATAATCTTAAGATTGGGAAGAGAAAGGGGTTCAGTAGGAGGGGGAGGACGCGAAAGGATAATAGTAAGAAATGTGATCAAAGCGTGTTATATGTATGAAATGAGAAGGTCTATATTTTTAAAAGCAATGTAATCTCCTAATCTCTTTAAATATAGAATTGCATCTCATGTGTCTGGGACAATTTCAGCACCGGGACTGGATTGGGACTCTTGATTCTATAATTATTTGCCGGAGAGCTGACAGCAACTTTTAAGGACTGACCCCTAGGAAAGAGAGGTAAAGGGGTAAGTAGCTAATCCCACAGAGCCCAGTGGATATGTGGAGAATGCCCTCAGAAGGAAAGTCTATGCAGCTGGACAGTGGAGGCTACCAGGGGCAAAAAGCTAATGGTCACAGAAGGTGTGTAGACACAACACTCAGTTTCTAGACACTTTTATCAACAAACCGGCAATGGCTAATGCTGTCCGAATGTTCTGTGGAAACAGTCCTTCCAATTCACTGGTGTCAAGCAACTTGTCTGAGCACAGAGACACCCCACTTACATGGCATTCACACAAGGACAGGAGGAGCCGTACCGTGAGATATTCTCATGGTGCCTAATAAGAAGAATCAATGTGGATATCTACCATTATTTTAAGGTGTAATCCAAACTGGATTTTAATATATCCTCCCCCCCTTTAGAGTTGCTACTGTTTTAACATAGATATGGTTGAATGTGCTAGAAATTTCTCTCAAAATACAGAAATGAGCTTATGTCTGCCTCTCCAGGGCCAGTTTGGGGTCAATTCCCCACAATCCTGGCTTTGCTGGTCCTCCTGCTTCCTCTTTGCTTGGTGCTGACGAGGCAGGTGGTCCTTTCTGGCCAGGTTCCACCTACACCCTGTATGTCTGGACTCTCTGCCTCCTTGCATCCACACATAATGGCACAAGCAAGACAAAGCATATTACTTCTATTGCCCCAGAAACAAGAGCTGGGGGAGATAACGGTTAGATAGCAAAGCTTGGGCTACACCAGTAACAGGATGGTCCGTCCATAAGAGAACCAGGTGCCGACTTTGAGTCTACATCAGTATTCTTTCTACTCTGGCCTTTCTGAACTCTGAGTCCACAGTGCCAAGCTCACATATCAGAACAGCCTGTAGACTAAATAGGAACGATGTTGCTCATAAATACACTGCGTTGTATTTTTTGTGTGTAAGTGCTGGCTAAATTATGTGTATGCACGTGCTCCTATGTACCAGCACCCACAGAGGACCTACCCGGAGCTGAGGACCTTGCGCTTGCTAGGCAAGTGCTCTACCATTGAGCTAAATCCCAACCCCAAGCTAAATCTCCAATCACGTTACAGGTAGTTGTGAGCCTCCTGATGTGGGTGCTGGGAATGAAACTCTGGTCTGCGAAGAACAGTTTAACTCTTAACTGCCGAGCTGCCTCTATAGTCCACGATAAATGCTTTTATTTATGCTTGTTCTCTGCAATTAGGTAGAGAGCTATGAAATATTTTTAATGTTAATAAAAGGCCTTATGCTAAAAGATGGATGCTCCACATGGCTGCGGGGATCTAGGTCCATGACAGTTCCCTTGTCTTCCGTTTCTGCTGGCTACCTGTCTCTAAGCCCTCGTTCCTCCAGGATCAAGTTGTTTCTTGCCACCTTGAGAGACAAATGGCTGACCAAGGGGACACTTTCACAAAGGGGCTGACACTGGGCAGAGCTGGCCAACCAGCAGGACAGATAGCAGTTTGTCTTTCATGTAGTCCAGTCTATTTACTATTTCCTGGTTTTGATGAAGAGACATTTGAAGGGAAAATGAGATCCAAGGACAACACCTTCCTTAGCTTGTTTGTGAAAGGGCTGTTGCTCTTGCTGGCTTTGTTTCTCTTCCTGCACTTTGAGATTTCTATTGCCTGTGTGACCCCCTGCACAGCTGAGGAATGTACCCAGGGGTGGAGAACCTGCTTTCCCAGCCTTCTCTCCCCTGGGAAAGTAAGTGAGACAAATGAGGTGATGATGTTCATGCATCCAGCCCCATTTTGTCCTTGTGGACACAGTCAAGGTATAATCCAAACTGGGGTTACTTTCATTCCCCAAATGGTCCTGTCTCCAAAGTTCTTTGGGTCCTACGAGACCCAAAGGCCAGACGTTGCCTTCAAATGAAACATCTTTTGGGGCTGCCCAACAAGCACACAGGTGCGTGTCCCAAAGTGTGAAGGCGCACCGTGACTGGCTTCCCAAATGGAGCTGGTGCAGGCAGCTGTTTATGTCACACAGCTTCTTTTAACCTCAAATCTAAGAGGGCTTAATGAGAAAGAGCCTGTCAAATTCTCGGATTCCAAGCCCCTGCTCTTGTTTCTAAGGAGGGACACAGTGGGTTGTGCAATTAGAGAAAACCAGAGTGAGCTTTCGTCATGCGACATGTAATGCCTTGCAGCCAAATGATGCAGTATTTTTAGTTTTAATTACTGGTTTGCTCACTACTCCCAGCCCAGCGACCTCCCTTGCTTTCCACCCAGAATCTTAATACATTCTCTTCCCATCGCATCCAATTTGCTACGTAGATCTCCGTGGCTCTCCAAACACTCTCACTTTTCAGTTAAATAAGGGGAGGAAAAAGAGATCAAAACCAAAGAATGTATCTTACACACTCACCTTCCGCTCCAGGGACAAGAGCTTAACAATTTTCTAACGGCTAGAGAGAGGTAGGAAGGTGTAAAAAAAACACTCTAACCTCCCCCAAAGAGGCAGTTTCCGACTTCAAAAATCAGAGGCGATAAAAATATCTTCCGAGCGAACAGCCAGCTGTTTATTTATAAACCCACTTGTGGGGAAACTTGCTTTCTCTGAAGGGATTTTTGCGCCCCCCCCCCCCCCCCGAACACGCAGCGTTTGGGTGACAGTGACCAGAAATGCAGAGGGGATGGAAGATCGTGGGTTCCTAGGAGGGCCAGGGTGCGGCATCCTGGGTCCCTGGATCCAGGAGAGCCTGGATTTCAGCCTTTTCTCTACGTGGCCCCAGGGGACCTTCTTGAGCAGCTGCTGTTCTGCCGGTAGCCCAGCAGATGGTGGTGTGAGCCCGGGACCGCACTCCAGGCCTCGCGCTGAGCCCGCGCCCCCCGCCCATCGCAGATGGCTTAATCAGGGCTCGGTCCCCCGCCCCGTCAGGGCCGGCGCTGCGGACGTGGAGCCAGGCAGTCAAGTGTTACTGCGTACAGCAGGTAGCCTGGCAACTGCGAGCATAATACGGAGCAGATGGTGTTCGCACGGCGTGATGGACATCACACACGACAGCCTGAGACAATCCAGGAATTCCCTGGTGGCTCAAGGCCCTCTTTGCACAAAATGAGTTCTCTCTCCATGGCCGTGCATCTTGGGGAGTTGGGGGGTGGGGGGAGTCTCTCCCTTTTCCACTCTCCGACTGACACCGAACTGGTTTCTTATTACAGACTTTTCTCCAGCCAGAGGGAGAGAGACTTGGGGAGGGGGACAGGAAGCGGACGTGGAAGGAAACCGAAGGACTGGGAACTGGAGGAGATGCTGGGGTACTGTGGCAGCCAGACCCAGGGGCACCTCGCTGTTGTAGGGGACAGGGTTTCTCTAGCCAGAGCAGCACAAAGCTTGTGCAGGGAGGAAGGGACCTCAGCTCACTTTATGCCACCGCGTGGCCTACCAGTCGCCCAAATGAAATTTAGGGTTTTCGTTAAAAAGTCCCCCGGGGCGTAATTTAGCCTCTTCAACTCCAGCCTATCTGCTTACAAGTCCTCAGGGGGCTCGGGCTAAGAGCGGGGGAGTGGTGCCAGGAGCTCCAGGCTGGCCCTAGAGAGAGAGTCGCTCACTGCTTGGTGATCCTAACAAAAGACCAGGAGCTCTTAGGCAGGGCGGGTGCCCTGGGGCCCCTGAGAAACTCAGCCTTGGGCTCTGCGGCGGGCACATTGCCGGGTGCCACCACCCCGGCCTGTAGCCTGGAGACACCGGATGAAAGGACACGTGAACAGAGGTATGGCTGTTGTGGGTAGGAAAGAGTTGGAATAAATCAATAAACAGAAAGGATGCCTAGAAAACAAATCTCTCTCTCTCTCTCTCTCTCTCTCTCTCTCTCTCTCTCTCTCTCTCTCTCTCTCTCTCACACACACACACACACACACACACACACACACACACACACACACACACACTGAACTAGGGCAAGTAATAAAAGAAAAAAAATTCAACCA